GCCGCCTGGGTTCGATGGAACCCAGGCCGCCTAGGTTCGATGGAACCCAGGCGTTGGGTTCCGAACCCAGCGCTTGGGTTTGAGTCGAACCCGCCTGGGTTTTTTTGTTGTGTTTCTTTGTTGGCTTGCAATCATGCTTGAATGGGATTTAGAGTTTTGTGTTGCTTCTGATTGCTTGAATTTCCAGATCTAGTTACTGTCGATGTTAATTGAAGGAATGTTGTGTTTTCTTTACAGATCTGATATACATTTTTAGAGGAATTGATTTTTTGAATCAGATCTATTGGTCATTATTATTATTGTGCGAGGAACCAGATTTGAGTTCTATTAGAGAGGAGGTTTGGGGAAGAAGTAGATGGTGATTGGAGTGATAATAGATGATCGGAGCAATGAGGGATGACCGGAGTAATGAGGGATGATCGGTGTTGATTAGGTTGCAAGATAAGAAGACATCTGAGGATAGAGAGAGACGAGAGGTGATGGAAGATGAAGATGAGGGTATTTAAGGAATTTAAAATTTTTTAATATATAAATTAATTAAAATGACGTGGACTAAGTTATTTTCCACGTAATTAGAGATTTCAAACAAAAATTGATTTCGTGGCAACTTAACGTGCCATCTGGCACTTCCGTCGACAGAAGGACGAAATTGGTCTCGAAAATTGAAATTTAAGGATTTTTTTAGTACTTTTTGAAGTTCGAGGGTAGTTTTAGTTCAAAAATGAAAGTTGAGGGACTGAATCGGGGATATAACCTAAAATTTTAAATTTAGTGACTAAATTATTATATTTTTAATCTTTAAAAATTGATTTTGTAAATATTTTATTATTACTTTAACAGAATTAATGGTTTTGTTAATTTATGGGTAAATTCTCAAACCTTTAAGATCAAGAATTAAAAACTTTTATAATATAAAATAAAAAGTCAAAATTTTTAAATTTATTGAGACGAGAGGCTAAAGGTATGCTTCTGCCCTGCCACTCAATCCTTCACCTTCCCGCGGTGGACTAGTCTACGGTATTATTATTAGCTGTTATACCGACTACTGTCTTTAGCAGAAGGCCCATTACGGCATTACCTCTCCTGTAGATATGGACATCTTGTTGCCAAGCCCAAGTCTTTAATAAGTTAAGAGAAATAAAGAAACTAAAACATAAATAAAGAACTTCTGTTTTCCTCCTTTCCCTCGGTTATTTACACTTCATATGATAATGTTGGGAAAATAAATTTTTTAAATAACAACTTTGGGACATCTAGATCTAGTTTTAGCCTTGATTTATGAAATTTTTATTTTAGAAAATATAAAAATTTACTCAGTTCCTAATATAGCGTTACCATTCCGTTCCTATTTAAGAAAAAAAATAGAATAAAGACAAGGTAAGCATCAACAGGTCATATGTCAAATAAAAAAGTGCTCCCATCAGCACCAAAAATCCTACATTCAGTATCCGATGGATAGACAGAAGGAAAATATATCAACTGTACCAAATTATTGGCCTCCGCAGGGGAAATGAAATTCTTCCCAGCAAGCACGCAGGCATCTTGTATCTGCAAACTATAATGTTCACATATACAAAAGGGATAAATTCAAGCATCCTCACCACCATCCGGATCACGTAGCCACATCGAAACACATCTATCAGCCTCAGTAGCTTCATCCATCCTCTGATCATTTGCATCATCCTCCTGTTCCACATTATTAGCTCTGGCGTTTGCAGCCTGAAATTGAGGACCATTGGCAGCTATGTTGGCAGCATCTCCTTGAGGGGCAAAAACATTGGACTCCAATTCCATATCTCTCTCCAACCACTCGTATAACCAAAAAAAGGAGCGCGGCACAACCACTGGTGGATTATCAGATTGCATGGCAACTTTGTCATCGATGGGATGTCCCTGACCTATCAAAGTCAGACCTTCATTGAACTGGTTTTGGAGAGATTCATAGCGCTGAATAGCGTCCAATAGAGGCAAGTCTAGAAACTCTGAACCAGGTTGCATGGACTGCAGCAGCCCCTTCATCAAATTCCAACCAAGGGTCACAGCATTGATCGTCTCTAACTCACGTGCATCCTTGGAAATCTTATTCTTCTCTGCCAGTTCAGCCTTGAGCTTGTTATACACCTCCTCCTCCCCCTTCACTTGTTTGTTCAAGTTGCCAACTTCTTTCTTCTTCTCCTTGAGTTTGCAGTCAGCATGAACACAAGCAGCTGCAGCTTCCTCCTGTCTTCTTTTAGCATCTTTGAGCTTCACATATTGCTAATGAAGTTGGAAAATAATCAATTAAAGAGAAAAGAAATAATTCAATGTAAAAGAGAAGTTGGAAAGAGTAGAGATCCAAGAGGAGAGGGGCTTCAGTTTACTAACTACATACCTTCACAAGATCGTACATGCTAACTTCTTGCTTGCTCCCTAGTCCAAGGTCATGATGAGGTGGAGGTGCGCATGATGAGGTGGAGGGCTCCCTATCATGAGTAGCCCTCCTCATTTGTATTTGTGCACCTTTGTCGGTTGACAACAGAGGTCCTTGAGTAGCTAGTGCAGCCACTGACTGACCATGGTTCTGGTGAGCCTCAGCCATAAGCCCACCAATTCGGGGATGACTTGGAGTAGCGTAAGCAGTTGCAGGCCTCTTGCCCCGATGGGCTCTATCAAGTTCTTCCTCTCTTTTTCTCTTAAACTCCCTCACTCGCTCAAATATGGTTCCCCTTGCTGTCACATTCAAACCAAAAGAGTTAGCCCTAAAAAATTATGGCAGCAAAGTTGTAGCCCCAGGTGGACCCGCAAAGTGCACCAAATTCCTTGGGCCATGCCAAGGTTCAAGTTGCTCTAGCAACAATTGTAAAATCTCCATTTCCCCAGAGCTACTTGAATTCACCATACCTCCCAAGCTACTGGAATTCGTGGCAGTGACACCCTCTACTCCCGCTGTTTGAATCATTCCACTTCCACGGCTCTGCAGGTTAAGAAAATGTTAAAACAGTAGCCGTTCTATAATTAGAAATGCAACATAACATCTATATATACCTCCTCCAAAGTTGTCCACGGGTTCTGCAAGTTAATAATTAAAATTGTTAAAACACTAATTCCATGGTATATATGTAATTACAGCATCATCAAAAGATAAAGCAGCAAGATTGCTATACCTCTGAAAAGTTCTTCAGAATCATTTCAATTTCCTGCAGGTTAAGAAAAAGTTAAAACAGAAATTTCAGACATGGAATAGCGTCAACATTATTAAAAGATAATGCAGCAAAATATTGCCAACCTTGTCAAACTGTTGCTTTGCTCCATCTTCCTGGAAGTGGAATTTAAGAGTTGGAAAGAGTCAGATAAAGAGTGTGATGTAATTAATGTACTAAATACTACCAAAAAGAAAAGATGGTTGGAAGGAAGTACCAAAGCTTCAGAAACCATCCCCAATTCTTCACAGTATTCTCTTCGTTGCTCTTCCTTGACATATATTAAAACAAAGACTAGTTAAATAATAAATCAAGGGAAAAGGAAGTAAAAATGTATTGTTCAATCTTTTCAACAGCAATTTTTTTTATATATAGAATTACTAGTGCATAAAGAAAAGTTTTGGATAAAAAACTCGAAGGGAAAGATCATCACACCTCTTCTTCATGCTTTTCAAGAAAGGCTTCCAACTCTTCAGTAATCCCTTTCTCATCACAAAATTTCATGAACAGTTCTTCTCGTTTCTGAAGATATAATTCAAACAGAAATCTTTAATCACAAAGAAAAACTTTCACTAAATTCAACTAAATTAACGGTTAAAACAGAATAAAGGAAGATTTGTTATGCACACTACAAATATATAATTCAAAGTAATCTTTAATTACATAGAAAAACTGTCACTAAACTCACCCTACAATTATATATAATACATGTGGGAACAACAAGATATCTCTCTACCTTCTTATTTGCACGATAATCTCTATCCCTTTGTCTTTTCCCCTCCCTCCTTATCTCCATCGCTTCAGCTGATAGTAGCGGAAGCCGTGGACGTCCTGTTCCTTGTTTGCTGCCTGGTTCATTGGCAGTCCCAGTTTGCAAATTTTCCTCCCTTTCTTCTTCCAATTGTTTTGAGGATTCCTCTTCTTCGGCAGATGGCCTGTTTGCTGTGTGATTGCTAGCCCGCTTTTTTATGTTTTTTCCTTTCCCTTTTGTAATTTTCATCTTTGAATTTCTGCAAAGAGAGAGCCAAAAAAAAAAAGAGAACATTACTAATTCGAGTTAACTCTCATCTCATTAACCCTGTGAGCAGATCTGGTCATAGAAATAGAGATTTAACCAAACAAACAAAGACACAGAGTGGAAGTCATAACCCCAATCAAATTAAAAGCAAAAGAAATGACCCAGAAAATTGATTACAAGATAAAAATGGCGGACACTGACCACTCACCAGTACTGGCGGACACAAGTGAACCCAAACCCTCCCTGGTGGAGAAAAGAGGAACAGTACCATTTGACTGATGAATTTATAGGACAAAACCTTCAAGGATTGATTTCCTTTGCTCGAGCCAGCAATCTCGAGAGCTCGAGCAAAAATATTAGTCGTAATAGAAGGAACGGAAATGAACCTAA